GAGTTATAACACTGGCCCACATATTATTCATTTTCTGGAACTTGGGGGCCTTTTGGATCCAGGGAGAAACATCTGTCCTAGGGCTAGCCCCCTCTTAGAACCAACAAAGGATTTAATTAGGAATAAATTTATCATATTTTAATCAACCAATCTCAAGTTCAGATCATTTAAAACAATTATCTTATATATCAAGCCAATATTTCTCTGCCACAAATCATCCCAGGATCAAGTACCACACAAGGGGCAGATCCTATGCCTCAATACTCAGGCAAATTATTCAATGAGCTGATTCTGAGCTGTTGTCCTGCCTTCTCCAGTTAAGGCTCTAACCTGATTGTTCCACTCACTCTGGTGAATCCCCTGTGTTCTGTATGGCATCATGATTCCTTTCTCCTGTGAAATGTAACAAATCATTCTTTTCATGGCATAGTCCTCCCCATGTCATCACTCATTCTGACCACTACAAATGCAATCTCCACAATAATTTTAGCCCATTGGTAAAACTGATTCTGCCAGGTTTTGAGACTATCCACTCCTGGGTTCTCGAAGTGGTTCAAGTTGCAGGAAAGTCGAAGGAAAAAAGATGTTAGTGTTATACACTTCTTTCATACTACCCTGCAGTTGGGAAGGAGGGGGTTCTGTGTCTTAGCTAAATTGCAGGAAGGCTATGATGCATAGGGAGCACGTAAGGGAGGTTTAGGGCTGTGAGGGCAGAGGAAATAGAAACACAAGGACTAATGTTTTATTCAGGTCCTTGTCAGGAAGAACTTCCAGAAGAGACCAAATGATCCAAGAGAGAGGTTGGGTATCAAGAAATCTTGGAATAAGAGGAGTTAAAAATGGCTGTCTGAAAGAAAACTACTAACAGTGTCATGATGTTGGTGCTGTCACTATTTATTTATTATACACTGTCATTTATGGTGAATCAGCGCAGGAGTCATTTTTGGAGGTCAATGGCTCCTGCCACTATCACTATCACTATCACCCCATTTTTCATCAATTCACTCGAGTGGGCCCAGTATCGTCTCCATTCGTTCCTGTCACGTGCTAGTGTAGCCCGATGATATATTGGGGGTTCCTTCAGGATCAGGGGAATGAGGAGCATTCATTTTTACTCTTTTTTGATATATCGAGTACACCATGGTTAGCTTATCAGGCTCTGCCGTGCGGACGGGATACTCTCGGTAGCTTGCTGAGCTCTCGAGAGAGATGAAAACTTTGGGGGCAGTCTCTAATCACCTTTGCAGGTGTTCCTAGTCAGGCATATAGGCGGGCATGATACTTTCAGTAGCCTGCTGGGTTCTCTGAGAGTGAAAACTAGAGAATAAGAGTTCGCACGGCCACATTTGCTGCCGCGCGTTTCCGGGAGCTTGGTTTTAGAGTCTCTGGATCCTGGCCATTGATGGGGTTACACAGCAGTTGGTGGGCGTAGCTGTCTAGCTACTGGAAGGTAGGCGAAGTCACTATAGCTACTATAGTATTAGTTGTGTTAGCTAAACAGTTTTCGAACTCTGACCTTTTCTCCCTCTGCACTTTGGACAGGAAATTGAAACTAAGATCTTGAATTCCAGCATCACTCCTTTATTTACCTCATAAAGACAAGAACCACGCTTAGACGCTACCACAGTCTGGACCTGTCCAGAACAGGAACTTCAAAAAGCTAACAGATTTCTTCAAAATCACAGTCGTGCTGTTTTGTCAGACAGGTCTTGCTGAATATCTGTTTCCCACTGGACTTACAGAAATAAGCTGACTTCATGAGCTCTGCCATGTAATTTATTCTACCTCATAGAGCAAAAACTCACCAGTCACAAATATTTCCTTCTCAACAATGAGAGCTTTAGTCAGAAGCCCACCCCCATCCCTCCCCACCCCGCTACATATACATACACACATTGGATTCTTGGGCTTTAGGGACTATCTGGTGAATTGTAGAAAGATAAGAGGGGGAAAGAGAAGCAAATCAAATTTTACTTACTATAAACGGCTCTGCTTGAACTCAATCTGAATTGAGGAAGAAAAATAATTTAAAATTTAGTTTTGATGAACTTTCAACCAGGCTATTTGATAACTTATTGAAATGAGACAGTTATTGATAGTAACAAAAAAGAAATGGAGTTGCTGTGGATTTTATTAACTTTTCAGGTAAGAACTAGAAAAACAAGAAAAGAAACATCAACTTTTTTTTCATGATTACATTTCCTTAAGTCCAGAATTTTTATGTATATCAGTTAGACAAAAAAGTAATTTGTTGGTCCAAAAAACAGATTTACTACTGAAACAACAACATTACTCAACGAAGTAATTAGAAATACTAATAAGAAAATCAACATTTAAAACTGAATTACTGGCAAAGAGAAAAGATATAATCATAGGGAGTTCTGATAAATTAAAAGAAGGATGCTCATAGAAAAATAAGAACACACAAGAGTAACAAAAATAAAATAATATCTCTGAAGTGGTTTTAAATTACAAAATTAATTATTAAAAAATATAGCACAAAAGAACTTTCTGAAGCAAAGAAAGTACCATGTTTGTACTCCAATGTGTATACACTGATAAAAAGGCACATTCAGTCCTTTAAGTTTCCAGGCAGAAGATGAAAACCAGATATGAGGGCTAGGGTGGGGATTTGATTGGCCTCATCGTTCCATGTAAAGTTCCAAATTAAACACACACACACACACACACACACACACACACACCAATGTCTTATAGGGTTGGACATAGAGAATACATCTCAAGAAAAAGTTATCTGACAAATTTGCTTTTAGTTTTTAAGGTTACAGAGACATTTTGAAACACTAAAATAATCAGGGAATGGAGAGAATCTGAGTTCTTGTTAGGGAAAATATATCTTGGAAATTGACAGATCAATCAAACACTCAGTTGAATTCAGTGTAACAAGGCCAGCAATGACAGAAAGTAGAGGAGTACAACTTTCATTTAAATATAAATACATCTTTGTATATAATGGTGAATAAGTCAGAAATAAGTAATAAGTCTTCCTACTGAACTTTGATAGTACAAGGTGGTGATAAAAACAAAACTTCCTTTCACAGCATCTTTTTCAATTACACCACCTAGATACTTGCAAGGCAAAGTCAGAAAGCATGAAGAAATTGTAAGTGCACATTCCTGACTTTTGCTGTCTCCCTGCAGACTGTGAAGAGGTACCTTGAGTTCTCTGTGGACACATTTCAGTGAATAATCATGAAACTTTGGTTTCCGGTTAGGTTGAAGGACAATTCTTGTGTCCTCTTGGTAAGGTGGATTTAGGAAATAGACTATAAATATATAACAGAGCTCTGAAACCAATAGTGCTAGTGAGAGTGTTTTTCTGATTGGAATTATTCCATTACATTGTATCTTCTCAATGCCTCAGTTTCCTGATTATGAAAGTTAGAGTAACTTGATTTTTTACCCATTCTCGCCTCTCTGAGTGTCTATCAATCAACCTCAGTAATGTTGACTTCTTAAAAATCAAATACTCTGTGTTGAGGACTCTGTGGTACTCTTCTGTACGAAGATGCCCATTATCACCTGTCCCTCTCCCCAGCTGTTAACAAGCAAAAAATTTTCAGACATTGTCAAATAGTCCCTTGAGGTCAAAATCATTTCCCATTGAGAACCACTCACCTATAATCATAGTCTGTTCACAGTCATCCCAATCCTCTTGGTTTTATGTTGTGTATTATTTGTAAAAAGGAAGAAAATTTCAAGTAGTTCCATAGAGCAGTAATTTAGAATTTGTTACACAGCAGGAGAGTGACTTTCCGTTCTGAAATAAGAGAACTTTGCTTCGGGGGACTGAATTACTTCTGCCTAGTAAGTGGTAGCAGCAGTGCTGGACACGGTTGCCCCACATCCCCAGTCCATTATTCTTGGAGGAACCTCATCTATTCCCACCAATCTTGTGGTATCAGTCTTGCAAACATGTCATTTAAAAAAAAAAAAACTACATAACCACATTACAGAAACAGATTTGACTGTTCTTCACATAGAAGTTAAAAGAATTATCTTACTAATATTTATTAATAATATCATTATTAATATTAAAATTAATCAATCACGATCACGATCATGACCACCCTGTTGTTCGTCGATTGCCTCGAGCAGGTGCCAGTAACGTCTTCTTCGTCCTAGCCCTGAGATTCTTTTTTTTTAAAGTGCCATATTCAAGGCTTTTTCAGGGTTAGGAGAATGAGACCCATCATTATTATTAAAATTAATATTATTAATAAATATTATTATTTACTATAATAATGTTCTTAATAATAGTAGTAGTATAAGTCATCTTATATTTTGATAAGTTAAATAATTATGTAGTTTTACACTATTTTACTTTTTTGTATCTGTTTTGGGGCCACACCAGAGGTATTTAAGGCTTATTCCTGGGTCTATGCTCAGAAATCACTTCTGGTGCACTCCTGGGACCATATTGAGTACCCGGTTTCACTCCTTGTGCAAGGTAATCACCTTACCCACTGTACTATTACTCCAACCCCTATTCTATATGGCTTTATTGAATTTTGGACAAATCTAACATCGCTTTTCTATAGAATCACTATTCAAATAATAAACTATAATGCCATATTTTAGTAAATCTGAAAAGCAGACAAAAGCCACAAAAATTCAACTGGCTATAGATACTTTTGTTTTTCTATTAATTTTTTAATTTAGGTAATATTGGTTTACAAGAGTATAACTTTCTGTGCTTTAGAAATACAAAGCCAACACACACCACTCATCATCAAAATGCCAATGTCAAATTCATTTTTCAAAAACAAAATTGCTCTGTTAGTAGATACATAGTTTCCATTCTGTTAAGTTTTATGTGGGAGTGGTGGGTTGGACCACAGCAAGCTATGCTCGGGGCTTTGGGCTCAGGGTTATTTCTGAGTGCTGGGAGACTCACAGTACCAGACTGGGCTGACTACGCAAGACAAGTGCCTTCTTGCTTCTGTACTCTCTCATCAGCCCCAATTCTGCATTTTAAAAACTATCTGCCTCTATCTGTCTGTCATGATTTCACTCAGTCCATCCTGGTCATCAAAAAGACAGCTTGTTTTAGGGAGGTATATCAGAGCACTATTTCAGTCCAATTTGTGTATCAACATTCCTGAGAATTCTGTTTATTTTTATGGTTCTAATTTAGCAATATTCTCCATATCACTATAATGAGAAAAAGTTATCCTCCTACTACTCTGTTTGTGATTTTTAGAGTTAATCTTTATCCTCTCTGTGTCATTCATTTATTCAGCAGATATTTATTGACTACTTCCAATAATGCAGATTCTGACTTAGTTTAGATAAAATTCAGCAAAAATAGTTCTGCCCTTGGGAAACTTTCCTGAGACAGATAAAGAAACAAATAATTTCAATGCTATTTTAATTGCTGTCACTGTCACTAAGCAGCTTCTTTACCATTATTTAGAAATAGACATTTAAGCTCCCAATTGCACAAAAGACTAATCTAGGTGGGAAGCTAGAAATCTCAGACAGATAATTCAATACTGACACACATCTCTAAGTGAATGAGCTGCTCACACCAATTGGAGATTAAGGACAAGTGCCTTTTATTGGAAGAAGGCACGGGTCAGTCCCTAATTGGGAGAGTTGCATAAGACCACAGGCATTGCACAATCAGCTCTTTGACCAGCTAGATCCCAGAAAGGCTTTGAAGTGAAAACAGTGTAAAAAAGAAGGACCGACTAGTGGCACCAACTGGTGGAATATATTTTTTTAGAATTTTACTGATATCTTTAGATTTCTAATGTCTGAAACATTGCTTAAAAATAAAACAATTGGGGAGTTGAAGTGATAGCACAGTGGGTTGGGCATTTGCCTTGCACGTGGCTGACCTGGGTTTGATTCCCAGCATCTCATATGGTCCCCGGAACACCACCAGGAGTAATTCCTGAGTGCAGAGCCAGGAGTAACCCCTGTGCATCACCGGGTGTGACCCAAAAAGCAAAATGAATAAACAAATAAATAAATAAAAATAAGCAATTGACAAAGGCTATTTGCATCCATTCCCTTTTTCTATGAATTCATGCCCCTCGACCATCACAAAAAGACATATTTCACTTGGACTTAACAGATATAAGGAAGGAGTTTGGGGAAGGTCAAGGTTTGGAAGACATGGCTGGAAATCTTATTCAAGTTCTGTATTTAAGGTCTTAATAAGTTGAATCATGGTTCAATAGGCTCTTTCTTACTTTAAAATTTTTATTTAGGTGCTGAGTTATAATACTCTTAATTATAATGTTTGCTGTCATAAACTCTTGAGATTTTTCTGCACAAAGATGCTTTTTTTTAATGCAGGAGTACTATTATTTATTCAGTCACTGATTAAGCTGACTGAAGCAGGTATAAACTTCACATTACCTTTTACTTTTTATTTTTTTAATTTTATTTTATAAAGTCGTTCACAGTAATTGTTTACATTCAACATTTCAACACCAATCCCACCACTATTACACCTTCCCACCACCATTATTTCAAATATTCCCACCATCATCGAAGCCTGACCTATAGGCAGATGCTAAATAATTTATTTTGTATTGCTTATTATGAATAGTGTGGAATGTCGTGGGGTTGTAAAAGCAGCCGCATACTCCTGGAATTCTAAATTTTTTAAAATATTTGGGGTCCACAGGCATCTCTGTGGTGTGCTGCTCTCTTCTGAGATTGATTTTTAGTCTCTAACTCATGGCCTTTAATGCGCTTAAATGGTTCCCAGAGGGAATTCTTGGCATGATTTCCAGGGAACCAGAAAGGGGGGAGATGGCGGAATGTTGCCCAGCTCTGTCTCTGTGAAGTCTTGGGGTTTCAGCTACTGGTCCCACATTCCTGGGTTTTTTTAGCAGTCTTGTTCTGATGCGTGGGGGTTGCAGGATGTGTCTATAAAGTTTGGCCATGAATGTGGCAGTGATTAGGTTCTGGAGGTTTGTGGCTGCTGGGGCATTTGGGGCAGACATATGTTCGCCCTCTGAAGTGCCAGGGTAAAATCAGCCTGGAGTGGGGTGGGGAGACATCTCTGCAGCGTGCTGCTCTCTTCTGAGATTCATTTGTGAGTCTCTGAATCGTGGCCATTAATGCGCTTAAATGGCCAGATTTCTACCTCTTTTGAGATTTATTTGTGGGTTTCTGAATCAAGGCTGATAAATGAGCTTGCATAGATGAGCTGGTGGTGTTTTCTGGGCATGACTCCTACATATCTAATTTTTTGCCATTTAATTTCTCAGGAAACTTTGTGCCAAGTTGTTGGGGTCCAGGCCAAAGGTACAGCAGCAATTTGGGGGTATCAGGAAGCCTGAAGGCACCATCAGGCTACTGATGCACTTGCCCGAAGGTACATGCTGATCTGCTGGGCGACACTGTACCCCTAATAAAGATACTTTTAAAATTTGGGATCTTCCACTCTGAGGAAGAACAATATGCCATCCTGTATGTAACTGTAGTGGTATCATGGATCTAGATAACATGCCTCCTCATACCTGTTTAGCCTACTAGCTCCTTCTCATTGTGGACATTGGATACTCTCACATCTTACTGTTGGAATATCCTGCATAGAATATACTATTCTTCTAAAATTTTTAATTAAATCACAGTTACAAAGATGTTTATGATTGAATTTCAGTCATATAATATTCCAACACAAAAGTCAAATTAAAATGGATTAAAGACCTTGATAGCAGACCTGAATCTATAAGGTACATAGAAGAAAACGTAGGGAGAACTTTGCATGATATTGAAGCTAACAGCATCTTCAAGAATGAAACACGGCACGCGCAGCTAGAAACAGCCCCGAGACAGCCGGTTTTCAACCCCTGAGCCGCGTGGGACGGGCACAGAGGCCCAGCTCTGGGCAACAAAGCTGAACGGCTCCAATTACAACAGGTACAGCCCGCCCCCAAGGGCCTGGGTTCCTCTCTGGGCACGCGCAGCTAGAAACAGCCCCGAGACAGCCGGTTTTCAACCCCTGAGCCGCCTGGGACGGGCACAGAGGCCCAGCTCTGGGCAACAAAGCTGAACGGCTCCAATTCCAAACAGGAGACATTCCCAACTCCTCGCCCAGTGCCAGGGACTCTTTCCGGAGCCGCGGCCGCTAACGCGGCCGCGAAATATTTTCCCACTACATATGCCATAGGAACCATAAGCTAACTTCTTAGATGGAAACTTCTCTATTTTAGCTCAGCCACTAGAAATACAGTTGCCAATAACTCATAAGCCTATCTTAACTCACACTGCATATCAAGCAGAATAGTAACACTGAACGTGAAGGACTAAACCACACCTCTCACAATGGTAAAGCAACGCAAAAGCCCACCAAACATTCATATTGAAGAGTCTAGCCCAGATGACACCAACAGTACTGTAGTGTTAGACAACCTCTCTGACAAGGAATTCAGAAGGGAGCTACTTAGCATGCTTAGGGAATTAAAAGAAACAATGGAAAGCAATGCCAATAGAAGACAAGAGGATCTGAAGGCAGAAATGAGGAAAATGCAATCAGAAATGTCAGACCTGAAAAATCTCGTAGGCGAATTGAAAAGCTCAGTGGAAGGCCTCAGCAGCAGAGTAATAGCGGCTGAGAACAGAATCAGTGAGCTCGAAGATGAAGTTCAGAGACTCTCCCGAAAAGAGCAGAAAATGGAAAAGAGACTCACAATTCGGGAACAGATGGCAAGAGAAGATCGTGATGAAGCCAAGAGGGGTAACATAAGAATTATTGGAGTCCCAGAGGGACAGGAAGAAAACCTCGATGAAGAAGAAACTATCAAAGACATCATTGCTACAACATTTCCAGAGCTGAAGAAAACTTGTGACCACATTCAGGAGGCCCGAAGGGTACCAGCTAGAAGAAATCCGAATAAAAATACCCCAAGACACATTCTGATCAAAATGACCAAAACCTTAGACAGAGACAAAATTCTGAAAGCAGCAAGATCGAAGAAAGAAATCTCTTACAAAGGAGCATCCTTAAAATTCACAGCTGATTTTTCTGATGAAACCCTCATGGCCCGAAAACAGTGGTGGGACATAGTAAAAAAACTCAATGAAATAAATGCCTCCCCCAAAATACTTTACCCAGCAAGACTCTCATTCATAATAGAAGGAACAACACACAGTTTCACAGACAAACAACAGCTCAGGAACTTCATAGACTCAAAACCATGGTTACAAGAACAACTAAATGGGCTACTTTAAGGCAAGAAAGGCCCCTCAAATACACCCAATTTTAACATAACAATGGGACAAAATCCCATAACAATAATCTCTCTCAATGTCAATGGGCTAAACGCACCAATTAAAAGACATAGAGTGGCAGGATGGATTAGAAAATTGAACCCAACATTCTGCTGCCTGCAAGAAACGCATCTCAATAGTCAAAGCAAACACAGACTCAGAGTCAAAGGCTGGAAAACAATCCTACAGGCAAACAGCTCCCATAAAAAAGCTGGGGTAGCCATCCTTACATCAGACCACATTGATTTCAGAGTGAGGAAGGTCATAAGAGACAGTGAAGGCCATTACTTATTGATCAGAGGATCTGTACAACAGGAAGAACTTACAATAATAAATGTATATGCACCTAATGAGAGACCAGCAAAGTACTTAAAACAACTACTCATAGATTTGGAAAAAGACATCAATAGCAACACAATACTAGTGGGAGACTTCAACACTGCTTTGTCACCTCTTGATAGATCAACCAGACTCAAGCTTAGCAAGGACATGCTTCATTTGAGGGAAACAATGGAAGAAAGGGACTTAGTAGATATATACAGGACACTTCATCCACAAAAAGCTGAATACACATTCTTCTCAAGCGTACATGGAACATTCTCCAAGATAGACCACATGCTGAGCCACAAAACATGCCTCCATAAAATTAAGAAGGTAGAGATTGTATCAACAATCTTCTCAGACCATAATGCGCTGAAATTAGAAGTAAATCACACACAAAAACAGAAAACTAAATCAAACACCTGGAAATTAAACAGTGCACTATTGAACAACGAGTGGATTAGACAGGAAATCAAAGAGGAAATCAAAAGATTCCTAGAAACGAATGAAAATGAGAACACGAGTTACCAAAACTTATGGGACACAGC